CATATCTCATAGGGAGTGTGGTACTACTACAGTTAACCATTTTTACTTTAATAGACAGATTTATTTTGGTAAGGGGTGTAATAGTGATTTCTAATACGAGATTTCCCTTTTCCATGCATGTAGAGTATGCGCACTAGGTTTTTTAATTAAACTTGTGAGAAAATTGCAGGTTCTGTCATCCAGGAAAGTTCAACTATTACTTGGTTACATTGTCAGTTGCATAAGAAAAGAGGTCAAGGGTGGAATTGATCACAGTGATCTTGCAAAAATGGCATCTGAAAGTATAATCTTGGAGTTGCAGTCTTCTGAGAGAGGCTTACAGAGTGAAGTTGTGGAGTCAGACCTAGTTTTATGGACTGTTGGGTCAAAGCCACTACTTCCGGAGTTAGATATTAGTGATGAGACATACGAACTTCCTCTGAATGCTCGGGGACAGGCAGAAACAGATGAAACCCTCCTAGTTAAGGGTCACCCACGCATCTTTGCAGTTGGCGATGCTTCTGCATTGAGGGACAAAAATGGAAAATTGCTTCCAGCTACTGCACAGGTCATTCTCATTCTCATATCATTCTCATTTACCCCATTGCCGCAAAGGCTCCCACCTACGTTGGGGTAAGGGGGTCGGATGTACGCAGTCTTACCCCTGAGTACAGAGAGACTGTTTCCGGATGACCCATAGTGAAAATCGCGTCCAAAATTGCATGGACTGACTGTTGCTTCATAACAAAGAGGCGCAAACAGTTTAGTGAGCCATTTTACTTCATTCCATCATATTCTAAAGCCATAAAATAATGAATCTTTGGCTCCATTGCAAATGATGGAAAATCAGCTACTGCACAGGTGATTAACATAAATGTTACTTTGACAGCTGAAGTTATTGTAAATAATACGGACTAACAAACTAATAGAGTATTATTATTTTATAGTATGCATGTGTCCATGACCACTTTTCTGCTACCTTTTTTTATTGCAGGTTGCTTTCCAGCAATCTGATCTGGCTGGTTGGAACTTGTGGGCTTCTATCAATGGCCGGGAATTGTTGCCATTTAGGTATGGTTTTGATAATTGCTATTCTTGTAGATTAATTAAATATCATACGGAGTAATATTGTTCATACTGTGACTAGCACCACGATTTTCTTTCACGACCATTTTTATGTTGGAGTCTCAATTTATCATGACATTACTCATGCGTCGTTCACAATACAATGTAGTGGCTTGATATAAATTCCTTTAATGAAAGTACATTATATCACCCCCACCACACTGTCAATACCTTAAATCCTATATCCGAACGAGTTGGGTCTGAGACATGAAATTTATACAACACCCAAGCCTAAGTCCCAAAAGAATTTGGGGTCGTCTAACATATGAATTCAAAGCCATAAAAAATAAAAAAATAAAAATATGAGATAAAAGAAAAAAGAAAAAATTATAAGATAAAAGTGACATGAAATTTATAGTCAATTAATTGTTTAAATTATTTTTTTGAAGAAAATAAATGTGCATATCATTTCACCAATCAAACTGCCCAAAATCAGTTAACACTAAATTCATTCAAGAAAGCATTTTGGCAATGTTTTATGCCGGATGCCCTTTGTGCCCTAACCATTCATAGGGGCAGCAATGAGTTGAGACAATCATTATTTTTGTGCCCCCCTACATGAGTTGTAAAATCAACATCCAAATCATGAAGCATGACTGAATGAAGTAAATACAATGTTTGATGCGTGCTCAGTTGTACTTGTTTTAATCCTATATCAGATCAGACAAGATCACAAGAATAGAATACAATCAAACAGAGCACTCCAGACTTAGATAATAAGTACTCCGTATAAAATACATATAATACTATACCAGCTCAAACAATAGTTGATGATTTAAATTTCAGTCCAAATGAACAGGGTTGATTAGAAACTACTGATAATGGCTTATGTAATTGATGCAGATTTCAAAGTTTAGGTGAAATGATGACTCTGGGCAAGTATGACGCCGCTGTTTCACCTAGCTTCATTAACGGGATCACCTTGGATGGTCTTGTTGCTCATACCGGTATCCCCAGACCTCCTGACACCCCTCCCCCTCACTGTATTTCATTTCATTCCTAGCGGCCTTATTGCGTTCATTCTCATTGCAGCGAGAAAAATAGCATACTTGATCAGATTACCAAGCAACGAGCACCGCGTAAAAGTGGGGTTCAGTTGGCTAGCAAAATCAACTCTGGATTCGCTGCAGAATGTGCTCAGTAAAGCGCTTTCAGGATGCTAGGTTTACTTTTGGGACATATTCTGTTTCTTTGACAGGATGCACTTTATGAAACTCTCTGCTGCTGCTTTATTCACATGTACAGAACAAGATCTTTATTGGGGGCAAACATTGGATAAATTTGACAGTTCGCTTTGTTTTCTGTATATTGACAAGAATGAATGTATAAGTTTAATTTAATTATTTAAAACAATTTTCCATCATTTCCAACGGAGTCAAAGACTAACTATTTTTTGACTTGAGAATGTGATGAAATAAAGTAAAATGACTTACTGAATTGTCTGTGATTCTTTATTATGAAACATCAATCAATCCATGCAATTTTCGACGCGATTTCATCATTGGTCACCCGAAAACAGTCTCTGTGTATTTTAATATAAGGGTAAAACTGCGTACACCTGATCCCTTCTTATCTTATCGTAAGTGATAGCCTTTGTGTCACCGGGTAATGTTGTTAATTATTTTAAGTAAAAAGGGTCAAATAAGCCCGCCTACTATTACACATTCATCATACACCCATGTACTAAAAAAAACAATCAAATCAACCTATTTACTTTTAAAAAGCAATCAATTTAGTCATATTACATGAAGGTAATTAGGTAACCTCCTATCCTATTGCAGGTTAAAAGTAAACATTCTACGTATCCTTTACTTCCTGTTTGAGTTGTTTTTCAATTTTTTTCCTTTCCTAGCTTTTTTATCCACTTCTTTGTTGGCAGGAGCCACAAGTGCCAAAAGTCCTTTATTTTCTTATTTATTTTTTTTGTTTTTTTTTTGTTTTACTACTTATTTTCTTTTCGTTCTTCCTTGGATTCTGCCGTGCTGTTTTCTTTAATTTTTTGTAAATTGTAAGAAAATTTCTAAGTCCATTCCCTAGTCAGAACAACATCATCCACTGCTAACAACCTTCCATCCCCGTTCTATTACATAAGGCGGAAAATGCTTTCGTCGATTACCGCACCATCGATTGTCCTCCTGCAGCTATCTCAAGTCCAGACCCAGAAATAGAAGCGTCAGTGGATTCCCGTCTCCGGTCGTCTGTTCGTGGATGCGTTAGCAGATCTCCGTCGATTTGAATTAGCCAGGCCAGAGGACAATGTGTGTGTGTGTGTGTGTGTGTGTGTGTTGTGAATGATGTGAAATGCAAACTCACTAAGTTTTTGAAGCAAATCGCAAAATGATTGTCCAAATATATATAGAGAGGGATTAAGATGAAAGATAAAATTAAAGGAATCTGCAGTTATGCGGCTAGAAGACAGGGGAGGGGGTTGGGACTTGGGAGTTGATGAGAAACTTGGATAAAGAATGATGAAAAGAAAAAGAAGAGCAAAAGAGGAGAAATAAACTATACAAATAATCTAACCCTCCATTTAACCGGTTAAAAAGGTCACTTTTAGGTAAATCTGGTCATATTGAACGTTTTGACCCTTTTTCCTTATTTTAAACAAACAATTTGGTAAAAGGTAGTATGTGCAATACCTTCTCCGTCTCAAATTGTTTTGCAAAGTCAACATTTTTGGGTCAACTAACAATAAATGTCAATGCTCCGTGTCGATGAATAATTCAATTTTTAATAATTAAAATTTACATATTCAGAAACTGCATTAAAATCTTTTCAAAGTTACAAATCCCAAATTAGAATATAATTACAAATTGTCATCCTAATTAGCTAATATAATGAAACTGTTTGATCAAGAAAAGTCAAATTTGCAAATCAATTTGAAACGGATGTAGTACATTTTAATTAAACCAAAGAGCATTTTTGTAAACGTACTTGCATTGCAACTCTCAATTGATGTCTAAACTAATGTATGAACATTGTATTTCATGACACGTATAATCAAATGCGAATTACATAAGAAAATAGCTCATCCTCGGTCAAATGTGCAGACAAAGTGGTGTGTCGCTCTTGTCGGGTCTCGGACGGAAAACAGTTAAACTAAAAGCATCTCAATTGTGTCATTGGCGTGAAATTTAGTGTCAAACCATCTATAATAACTTTTTTTTGAGAGAAATTGTCTATAATATCTATTACCTCCTATTGGAAATTGCTAGTTTTGAACAATTTGAGAAATCGGAAAATAAAAATTAACAATTTAATAATTGAGAAATAATCAAAATAAGTAAGATACTTTTTTGCTGAATTGACTGAAGTTATTGTAGAGTATCAATTTAGTTATTTTTTATGTAATTTTTTCTTAAGTTTATTAACAAAATTTATTTTAAATATAATTTTAATAATTAAGTAGATTCAGCCAATATTAACACTTCAACCAGAACTTCATAAATTTCATCACATTCAACTAATTTTAGTGTTATCAAATTGGCACTAACTAAACAGAGTCTTCCATTTAATGATAAAAATGACAAAAGGACTGTGATGATACAAACTACATAAAATAATGATTCAAATGATATTTTATTATTTGGAGACTAAAATGATATGATTATGATAATTCAAAAAGTAATACTTCTTCCGTTCCGCTAGAAGGTTTACGATGCTTGATCGATGATAAAGCAATTTAATCCATGTTCACACTCTGATTATTTTTAGTAAATAAAATTAACATATTCAGAAAGCACATTAAAATCGCTACAAAGCCTGATAAAAAAATCTAAATTTAATAAAATTTGATTTTTAAAGTAAAAGATTAAAAATGATTTAAGTTGGGGTAGGAGGTAGTAATAAAATGTACTAAGTATACTTTACACATTGGGTCCTTTTATTTTGACAGTTTAACACATTGTGTCCGTATTTGGGGGTTCTACCCCAACGAAGGAGTTAACATAATCCGTGAGGTTTCCTTTTTACGGTCTTTAATTTAATTTAATTTAATTTAATTTAATTTAACTGTTCTTCTCCCGCCCCATCCCCAGATAGCATCCGTGCGGCCATTTCCACAGAGACCTGCTGCATAGGTATGAGTTTCTGAGCTTTATGAGCATAAGTTTCGTATTAGGGTTCCATTTTCGAGTCTCAGTTTCGTGTAAGGGTATCGATTTGTGAACATCAAATGCTTTCTTGTTTCACATTCTAGACTTGTATGATTTGAGACCACCTGTGATAGCAGTTGAAGAAAGGGAATGATAAGTGAAATTAAGCTTAACTGAAATGCATGAAAGGCGCATTTAAGTGACTGTGAGCTTGAAGGCCACATATGGGTCATAAACAGTTTCCTTTATGACCCAGTTTTAGGAAATGGTATGGTCTTAATAGGGTCATAAGTCATAACCAGTTTCGTTTTGAAGGCCAACCCATTTGAGAGAATTAAAAAATAGCGCGGAATGACCTTTTCTAGTCCCCCCTTCCCCTCTATCCAGGCAACTCTCCGCCATAGTTTCTGACCTCATACAAGTTTTCAGAACCCTAGCCCCTTAGTTTAAGAAACTTCTATGTTAAGCAATTCGTTCATCAGTTAACTGGTTCAAATTTCTCTTTTGAATGTCTATTGGAGAATTGGGAGGGAGAGATAGGGCTTTGTTTCATTCTACCGTTACAGTTCATTTAATTTGAGTTATTTACTCAATCTATTCTTTAGTCGCAACTAACTGTTTTAGAGGATTTTTGTGGGTTATTCAACACTGAAGCGCTTTATGCAAAGCTCTATAAAGAGTACATTAATCTCAAGGTCTGTTCTTGCCTCGTGTCAGTCTAGATCTTCATACTATTATAGCTACAGAAGTTTTTAATTCTTTGATGGTACTATAGAAAGGAAAATATACAGAGATGGAGAAGATGATACGAGAACAAGAAGAGAAGTTCAAGAAGCATGTTGCTGGTATGTTAATGAGTTAATCAACTTATGCACTCCTTTTTTGCGAATTTTCATACTTTGGTTATATGTTTCTTGACATAGGGTTCCACTTCCTTCTTTGTCCATGTAATTTTTGAATGAATCTTTATTATAATGCTATTATGCTTTGCAGAAAATTGATATGATGCATATACTTAACTGTGAACCACTTTGTGTCTTAAACTGAAGTTTTTGTTTTTTGAGTTAAGCTGCTCGTGACAAAGAAAAGAACATGAAAAGTCAAATAGAAAAGCTGTCCAGGCAAGTGCATGAGTTGAGAAGTGAATTGTCATCAGTGAGGTAACTTTATCTTTGGATGCCCCCCCCCCCCAATCCTGAACTAGTGACAATTTCTTAAAATACACGTCCTGGTGCAGATCTACCAAAAATGAACAACTAATTCACTACCAAAATCAATTGATGGAAGCGAACCTAAAAAGTAAGGACATGGTTTTTTTTTGAGCATATTGATAAAGCCTCAAATCCTTTCTTTCCATCCTTTCTATTTTTAAGAACGTATAATTGTTTTAATAATATTCAGTGCCTCAAATCCAATGTTGCAGATAAAGAGCTATCTGAAGAAATTGCTAGGCTTAGAACTGTTGAGCGACCGAGACAAGACAATAACCCTTCCCGAGATGATGAAAACGGACAAGCAAATAATCACAAGGATGTTTCATCTCATGCAAGGAAGCGTAAAAGGCAATCTCCTCCTCTTAGCATTGAATATCCAGTAAATGATGATACATCTATTGTTGTCAGGAAGGGAACCTTAGATGTCCACGTGAAGGAATCTGCTAAAGAGTTATTATGTAAGAAAATGATAGAGGTCAGTGCTATACTGCTATCCCTGGGGGAAAAGAATCCGTGGTGTTAGTCATAATATTTTTCTGCAAAACCAAAATGAATATCCTTGAACTTTCATTCTATATTACTATGCCACTTTTTTCCCCCTTTTCCAGGCTCCGTGTTGTAGAAGAACAAAAAATGATTCAGGTATATAAGTATACATCATAGCATTCTGCAATAATCTTTTGTGTGGTCTGTCTAACTTTTGTGTTGATGGAGTTGCTTTAGCAAATGAGGCAGCTGATGATGCAGAACGTGTAACCTGTATGTTTCAAGAACTGGTTGAGTGCATTGTTCAGATGAAACTATCACCACACAAGGAGAATGGGGAAAATTTTATCTCGTTCCTACACGAGCACAGTGGTAATGATCTTTGTAAATGATAATTATTCCATCTGGAGAGGGTTCTACTGAGAACCCATCGTAAAATGTGAACTTATAGTGATGACTTTTAATCGCAACCTTTCATTTTATTAAATCACTGGTTAGTATGCAAGTGGTGTCTTTTGTTTAATTATTCAAAATTCAAATGGTTCTTTTAATAATTATTGTAAAAATATTACAAAAATGTCATTGTTGATTCTAGCCACTTATTTGAAATTTGAAAGGTGGAGATTAAAAGTTCTCATTCATAAATGTGTTCTCATTTTAAAAAGGATTCTTGTTCTCACTAGAACCCTCACCTATTCCCTTCTAAAGTCTAATGAAAACTTTAAACAAATCTAGGATGCTGCATACATTCTGTTCCATTTTGGTTATAAAGTATTTTTTGCCCAAGGAAAAATATTTTCAGGTTTAGGATATGGCTGATTTTTTTGAGATTTCTAAAGAAAAAGTGTTAGACTCTGGTAACATTCATTTCAGCAAACTGAATAACTTAGAGTCTTCATAAGCCAGTTATGACTTATGACTACCAAATAGAGCCTTACAAGACCAAGTATTGGTGCACCCAGGGCACGGATTGACCAAGTGCACATTCAATGGGCTCTGATGGACCCAAATAGACACGATCCACATGATTTATTGCAATAGTTAAATTTAGCATTTCCAATGTGTGTTTTTGTAGTTAAGTTTGACATGATGGCATGTTCCCTAGTATTGTTTTTTCAAATATGTACTTATATTTGAAAAAGAAACTAGTCATTAGCAGTATATATGAGTTATCTACAATACCAATAAAAAGCATACAAAACTCATTGTCTTCATTCATGGTCACAGGTTATTCATTTACTTTAAGATTAATAGAAAACCCAGATGGAGAAGCAGAATGGTTATACCGGCTTTTGTCACTGGGAACTCTGGATAGAGTAGCAAAAAATTGGATGAGAGAAAATGTGATAATGTTCAGTACAAGAATGTGCCCCATCATCTTTCAAGGGCTGTCTCGTGTTATTGAGCTTAATACTTAGGTAGTTAATTAACTGCTGGTTAGTGGGCTTTGTATTTTATCAGCTGGTTGTCGTTAGATAAACTTTCAGCATTCAAATTTGTTCAGCATTATTTTGTCAGTCATGTAAGTAGTTAATTTTTCTGCTAGTCTTTCCTATCGAAGTGCCCGCATCAGTAAATTTGACACCATGAAGTTTTAGTTATTATTTTTTCATTTCAATGTACATTGTGTATTAGGGATGGACTCCGGCCAGGTAAACCGGCCCGGTACTGTTACGGCCCGGCCTGGTACCCGGTACCCAGGTCTGTGACCGGTTCGGGCCACCCAGCCCGGTACTGTTACGGGGCGGTTCTCGGGCCTCCCAAACCATGAACCGGCCCGGCCGGTTCGGGCCCGGTCCGGGCCTCAACGGTCAATTTTTAATTTTTTTAAAAAATAAATCCAGCTCCTCCTAGCCGTTGGGAACACTTCCAAACGGCTCTATAGCCATTGGAGGGCTTGGAGGGGGTCCAGGGAACACTCCCAACGTGCTAACGGATTATAGAACGAGATTGAATGTGAACACTCTTAGAGTTGAGATGCTTGTTTGCTTCCACGATTGGTTCAAGGTGACATGTAGAACTCAAGAAGTGTGCATCGCTCCCACCCGCCACTTTATGGAGGAAACAACTGAAGGTGGTGAAGATTCCGATTGATTATTATTTATTAGAAAATTTATTTCATGTTTTAAATTTTTCTCAATTCTCAATTGTACTACATATTTCAAATAAATATACTTTAACTTTTTTATATCCAACAATTCTCGAATTAATTTGTAAAAAAAAAAAATTACCCAGTTCGGCCCGATCTGGCCCAGCCTATATCTACCTGCTACCCGGCCGGGTAGCCCGGCCCGAACCGGACCCGGTAGGTACCCGGGCCGGTTCGTGGCCTCAATTCCCCAAAAAAAAGCCCATTCGGGCCCGGCCCGGGGCCCGACCCGGACCGCCCCGAGTCCATCCCTATTGTGTATCTCATTTCAATCTTATTTGATCCGGGAATTTTTCAAATAAGACTAAATGAAACTTTATTTGCACAAATAGGATTATAACTTTATAGTTCCCAAAATAAGGCTAGCTTTCCAATTAAAAAACAATTCATATTTCATTAATAATTCATATTTCATTAATAGTTAAATACACATAAAAGTAATAAAATAAATTTATATTTCAATTATAAATTAAAAAACATAAAAGTAATAAAATAAATTTATTTATAATAAAAATGTAAAAAACCAAAAAACACGGAAATAAATATAAAACTAAAAAACACGGAAATAAATATAAAACTAAAAAACACGGAAATAAATATTTTAAAAAATTAATAAAATAAAAAATAGAAAAATAAAAAATTGAAACACTTAAATAATTAAAATCAAAAAACTAAAAATTGTAAAAAGTAAAAAAATAATGGCCTCTCTTGCCCCGTCAACAACCTTCCAACACCGGCTTCGACCATCTGAAAAATGTCACCATGTATAAAAAATGTCATCTTGATAGCAGTTTCATAAATAAAATTAAACATTATCTTTCTGCCCCTAATATAATTAATTCTCCCCTCTAATTCTCTTATACAATCAAAGTCACTCTGTTGGTGGAGCAATGCAGTGGTGGCAACCAACTGGCAGCAGGGCAATTACATTAAAAAAGTGAATTAGGCCTTGCAAGTTGCAAATAAAAGTTTCAGGAATTCTCTTATAACACATTTTCTTTTTTCCGTATCTTGATTTTAGTGGTTGGAAAAAATTTGCGCTCTAGTCGAAATAGGATTTCTTTAATGGATCAAGTATTTCCTTATACAAACTCTCGTCTTAAGTGAAGACACGTCTAAGTGACCAAGTCGTATTTGAAATGTTAATTTACATTGAGTTTTGGCAGCTTGATTTCATAGTTTTCTATTTCCATACGAACTATTATTTTATTTATTTATTACGTATTACTCCGTACTATATAGTAATAAGAAATACAGTAATTTAAGCATAAAATATAGTAATATACCACTGTACAATATATGATTATTTAAAAGTTAAAGCTAATTTTTTTAAAACAAATTGAAATTATTTCTGGACAGAGGAAGTAGTGATGTAGTTGATTTTTAGGTTCAGATATCAAGCTGGGGGACAACTTATGCGTGAACTCGACCTCTTTCTTTGAATTTCGGTTCTCTTCATTGTAGTGGTGTATACAGTAGTAAATTTGTGACTGAAATAAATCTCTTTCAATTTAAAACTTTTAAAACTTCTGGAGTGATGTAAAGGCCGTCTATGCAGAGCACTGTAAAGGAGAAAATCCAAATATAGCAGGAAGAAACTGTGTTTCTATACTTGCACGCGCTATTTTAATGAACGTGCAAGAAAAGAGAGGAAGATCAAGTTGAATGTGTTCTTGAAGCCCATATTCCGAATACAAGAAACCAGAAGACAAACAACATTGCCCAGTAGCGTGCAGGTCCATACTGTATTCTTGCCAACACAACCTGCAGGCATTTAACATGAGGAAAAATAACATTTGTATTGGAATTTTTTCTTTACCAATTTTTTTCATGAATAGTAAACTCAGAGCATCTCTATAAGAAGAGAAAATGCTTTTTTCTTCTCTTTAAGTGTCAGAAGGAACAGAAACTTACAAAGCGGAAGAAGACTACAAGTGTTAAAGCACATATGCCCCCTAGAAGAATATGCAGTCCATTCTTTGCAGTATTCTACACAACCAAAAGTGTTCGTAAATCAAAACGATTTTGAAATGGAATACACACACAAACATTATAAGCCAAAACATGGGAAGAAAATAGCCTTTCGGGGTTGCTCAACTGGCTTGGACCAATGAACAAAAAGTTTTATGCGGTCACTTATTCGAACCCCACCGGAGGAAGGCCAGTAAAAGTTTACCCGCTCGCATGTATAGTGTCGGTCGCAACTTGCAATAACTACTAGTTTCTCACATGTGGGGAGAGCAACTATATACAAATCTTCAAAGGCATGCGAAGTTAAACTCAATAATAACGCTTGTAATGGTAGTAGATTGAGTGAATTACCTAAATAGTGAATTACCTAAATGGGAGTACAACATGGCTAAAAATCACAAATTGGACTACATTGTTTTAAATACCCTAAATAGGACTAATCATGTGTGTTTGAACAAATATACCCCGTAGCTTTTTAGACTGCCCAGATCAGCCGCCACCGCCAGCCGCCGGCCACCTCCGCTGGCCACTGGCCATCGCCCAGCTGCCCCGCCTGTTGCTGCCGGGATCTGACCAAAATTTCTAGATTGGTTTTTCAGCCAGTTTCACGCCGGGAGACTCGCCAGAGCTCCGCCGCCGGACTGCCCCGCCACCGCCGGACTGCCCCGCCACCAACGGACTGCCCTGGTTGCCCAAGGGAACTAGGGGGCAATTAATTAATTGGATTAGGGGTATTAAGGGTAGAAAATTAATGTTTAGTATTTAATGTGAAATATTTAGGTTTTAGTCCTATTTGTGCAAATATGTTTCCATTTTAGTCCTATTTAGGCTAATTACTATAGTAAATTAGGATCTCTGAATCTATATATAATAGTGGAAAATTTAGTTTCCGTTTGGCAGCCAAGAGTTGCTTGCTCTGTTTATGAGCAGAATAATCAGAACAACCATAATGAGTAGTTTTTGACTTGTTTTTTTTTGCATAGAAAGAATAGTTTTAAACTCAAATTATTATGGGCTGGAATGGATTTCACCAAACGCTTTTTCTCTGAAAATTCAGCAAGTTCAGCTACATCCACGGAATAACCTTTACCAAACGAGCTCTTATTCCCACTTAATGGGTTCAATGGATATAAATATGCAAAAACATAATGGGAAAGAAACCAAAAGCGCATGGATACCATTAAATCATTCACCATGGCATACAGCTGCACATCCCCATATGACACTTGCATGTTTTATTATATTAACTAACAAATAGATCAGTGTCAATTTAATACTCCGCACAAACTATGGCAACTACCATCAGATATGATAGTATAGCAGTATACTTTCAGTTGGTTATTAATAGCCATCCCGATAAGTACATTGATTCTTTAGACAAACCTTCTCTAGATGTTCCATATGTCCAAATCTATCAACTAAAATCTAACATATGGTCTTTCAATATAAGTTCAAAAAGAACGGGCTACCTTTCGGCTATTCATATATACATACTATACTACCTCTATTGAAAAGAAAGGGTTCTTGTTTGACCTATGTATAGCTTTTTAATTTTCAATACTGTACAAAATCTCACAAATCACAAATTTTAGGTTATACTTTTTAAACCTTATTTGTTGGTTTAGCTAAGTTCATCACACACAACTTTTTTGTGATTTTTTTGGGTAAATTACATGAAACTGGAGTACATGACACATTTTTTAGTTTATACAAACATGACTTTTTGAACAAAAAAGGTGTTTAAAACAGAACTCTTTTTTGTATGAAAATTTATTTTTATGGATTATTAGCTTATTTTATCTCAAACTATCATCAAATTCACAAATCTATCATATTCTTTGGCTTTTATAAAAAAAAGACTCAACTTCACTTCCCCCTAACAATTATGCCTTTCTCTTTTGTTTTTCCAATATTACACATTTTTATCAATACCAATAAGATATAAGTAATACAAATTTGCAAACTTAAAACTAGAAATAAATGAAAAATATGAAATATAAATATGATTTTCTTCTTAAGTTTTACTGATTCATCAATTGAATGTGTAATTATGAAAAAAATTGAAGTTTGAGTCTTTTTTTAATAAAAGTGAAAGTATATGATAGATTTGTGAATTTGATGATGGTTGGGGATATAATTAGCTAATAATCCTATTTTTATCTGTAATTAGTATACTTTAAAAAAATCCTCAGCGACCAAGAAATACACTCACATACAAGGATTCAAAACAGACCCATTCACATAACATTGCTAAAATAACCACCAGATGAAAAATAAATCAATTACCTTTCCAACATGAGGAGCAATGAGCCATGCAAGAGTAAAAGTAAGCAGCCCCGTAGCAAGGAGGACACCGGTGCCTTCTACAGCCCACTTGGTTGCCCTATTTTCAGTTGGGGAGGATTCATCTTCAAGCATATTAGAAGTAGTAGAAGGTTGTTCAGTAACACGTGAAACTACCGCGGAGCTGTTACAGGGATTGAACCACAATGAAATTTCACTCAACCGTAGACTATGAATAGCTGCAACAGCATCAGGAACAGGCTCTCCACTAAAAGTCCTCTCTCTCAGCATATTATATGCTTTCAAACAGTTCACAACTTTATTGAAGTCATCATCTCTGATGTGATTGGCTTTACGCCCGCATATTTCACAGTTGGTGGATCCATGGTTGATAAACCACTTGAGTGCACACGCATAGTGCACAAGTGCAAGGTCATTTTTGCAGTCACATCCAAGTTCAATTAAAGTGCCATGGTTATGATAAGAACCCGTTTCAATGTCAGCATCACAAACAAAAACTTCCCCATCTGGACTAACAATTTCAACACAAGTAGATCTTTCTTTAGCTTCTGTCACAACACTGCACTCGTTTCCATTATCTTTTGTTTCTGTGGTGTGGTCGAGCCTAACCTCCCACTTTTTATCCTGTGTGTCACTTGATGGAGGGGTTATACGAAGAATTTCAAGTACAGCATCTCCCCTTTTGTCAGTTCTAGAGCATTGGCACACCCTACAAGTTGCCAGGTCCAGGCTATTACGCGAAGATACTGTATCATTCTCTCCTTGATTTGAGATGGGTGCAATGCCTTCCTGAATCACATGACTGCTTTGGCATAAATTTCCACCCTCCATCACATATGAAGTTTAGCATCTATAAAGTCTACTACTCTCTTTACTATAGTTATCGCACTATGCCTCCATGATGATACACAATAAGGCGAATTCCTGTTATATTGATGTGAAGAAAATCCATAGAAGTTAAAGTTAGAAACTAAAGATCTTTTCGTCAACAAAGATGAACCGGATCAGGCGTGTATCTCTTGTGGCTTACAAGAAAGATGTTTATATGTCATAGAATAAGAGGAATTACTGTTCATTGTTTATTCAGTTGGTTTTTTTTAGATAAGATGCAAATGAAGAACCTTTGGGTGTTTTTAGGTGCAATCATAGATATAACTAGTCATAACTCACTAGTGTACTGATCAGTTTCTTCATTTTCGTAGATGTACATTACTGTACATTTTGGTTGCAAATACTTTGGTTCTTACTGATTTGCAAATATATTGGACTTCACAAGCATGCAACAATGATAAGCAATCTATCTACTCATGCAAGACCATTGATTTCTGTGAGTGACACCATCATTTTAGGTGAATTGATGTCAATAACTTGGTTTGAAAGACAATGTAGTATCCATGGATAAAGAAAGAAGAAACTAAACTATAATAAAACAAAATGTCAATCCTATCACCGTTTGTGCACAAATGGGATCTTGAAAAATTGAAACTTTTTCCCCATCCATCTTCCTTTGTTACCCATATGCAAAACCAGACTATCGGAGCATCAGTTGGCTTTTCTTTAACGAGCTCAGCAATACTAGATGCATAACAGAAACGAAAAATGAGTGGGGGATGCAGCTACTAGTACTACCCTCACTCCCTCAGTGATTTGGATTAAGGCTGATTGTTATTTTTATTGTACACTTGTCCAAGTGATACTGTAAGTCTATAACAATTATCTGTGAACATTATTTCCACTCCATTAGCAATGTACATGGCAATTTTAACATTTACTAATCAGTGAACATTACTTTCCTTGGAGGTGCCAAGAGCAAGGTGTGCAAGACTTTCTATAATTCTATTAAATATGCACCTTAAATTCTACATTTTGCTAAATGCTACTGTGTGTCTGTATGTCATAAAATGGAAGTTGAAAAAGATCTCATCCACGGTAGCCCACTAGCTAATGCTTAATGGTTACCATAGTAATACACTAATACAAGAAAGAAGCATCCCATCAAATTGAAGAATTCTTACGAAAGCATTGATAAACTAATTGGAGATAAAAAAAAATCAGGCATAGTCCTTCGAATCATCGAAACAGACATGGAAAAAAGAGGAAAGGAAAAACTAAGATGCTTTAAATGTCAATGGATCAGTTTGGCAAACAAGTAACAGCTAAGTGCATTCACTAATCAATAACATCTAAACTAAACAGAGTATTTTACATGAGGGTGTCCGGCAGGACCACAATAAGTTACTTAATTTATGCCCATCCATCTACTCTTACCATTCACATTTTGAGTTTAACTATCAAAAGTTAAATGACAGGGGGAGGTGCGAAAAAGATTCTATGAAGAAGTGAATTGAAATTCAATCTAAACGCTTTACCTGGAAACGCGTTGCTAATCGAGGCAAAGAGATAGTGGGAGCGAAAAGAGAATGTCGATTCAGCAGATGTTTGAGCTTGTAGAGACGACGATAATTGGAGCGCAAAGAAGAGAGTGCAGCCAGCAATTGGGCGAGGGAGGAAAAAGGTAGAGCCGCGGGCGGATACCGTAAAGCGGCGATGAAAGAGTGAGTTTTCTTCGTCGTCTTTGTTCCGGAGAATAAAATACAGAAAGCAGCGGCTAGAAGCCTAGAAGTAGCCATCAATGAACGCTTCTCTTTCACATGTGGAGTAATAAACAGTTTGTTATTTTTAGTTTGATACTCGAGTAGTAATTTTGACTTCTTTCACATGCACTTTTTTTTTATAATATAAGTGTAGGAGCTTACGCTCTATGAACTACCCTCCGAAGCCCCTAGACAGTTAAGTCCGGATCTGATCACAGTCAGCCTCGTAAGTACTGGAGCAAGACCTCCCTCATCTCCCTTGGTGGGAATTGAACTCAAGACCTACCACAAAGGAGAGACTTGGGGGTGGATGGTCATCCATTGGACTACACTCACCTTTTCATGCACCTTTATTTTAAGGGTCATGCTATGGTGTCTTTAGAAATTTGGAAGGTACGGTGCATCTCATTGTGTGGGCAAATGAAATAGTGACATATGGAAATTTAAAACATTCATTAATGAAATGACTTGGAATGTTTTTTACCGAAGAAGGCAAATATATGGTACACTCCAAATTTGAAGAGTTACCATAGAAATCTCCTTATTTTAATTACTTAGAGAAAATTTGTGGTCTTTATTTAGCTCATCAGTCCATAGGCAGAATAACGTTCATTTGACTTCTTTATTTGATCAAAATGATTTTTAATAATTTATAACAAGACTTTCCATTTTTGCTAAAAAAAGACTTTTGAATTAAGAAAGTTAAGTAAATACAACTTATTTTAAAAAAAGTAAATACAACTTAATCAAGTGAAACTCATTCCAAACTTGCTTTTAAAGCAACAATTAATTACATCATACATTGAAAAACTTTATTATAAGTTTTCAAACAAACACAAACTGGACATTTTATTGATTTTGGATAATACAAAGTAGTCTTACGGACACTATGTGAATGTGTATAATAATTTTTATATTATCAAGAAAACTGTTTTTTTGGAATAATCAAGAACACTATTTAATATGTAAGATTAATTACTTTTGCTAGCCTAATATCATTACACGTTATCAAGAAACCTAATAAAATATACGGTTAAAACATTTAGGTTTGAGTGTTTTATAAATGACAATCAATAATGTCATGTACCAATTCAATATCAAATGGAATGAAGTACTAAAACCATTACTTGCCATTAAAGATTTAGAATTAGAAAAAGACTCTTGTTTAATTTAGCACAAGTTCTACAAAAATAGTTCAAAAGATAGAAGTTGTGGTTGAGATTTGAGTAAAAAAGGTGAATTGATATGGACCGCACATCGTTGACAAAAGAAGAAATAAGACAATTATTTTGGGACAACTATATCTTGCACAAAGTAACATTTTCACATTGCAATACACATTTTCGATAAGCCAAAACAGACTACAATTTAAAAAGTTCTGAAATAGCAGTTGAAGCATTCATCCTTTCAAACAACTTGATTGTAAGCACTATTACTATTAGAATCTCCCACATATACATACTAATATACTATGCTCTAAAAGGTTGAATTCTCAACCTCAAGGGCCTCCACACCCCGATCCGACAGGATTTTTGGGAGGATGAAAGTCACGGTGACTCAGTCGGCCCAATGATGGTAGACCTTATACCTGTGCGCACCAGAGATCTAGCTCAGCAACCAGGAACTGTAACCTCCACACGGCCGGTGCGGGGTTAGAACCTTGATTAGTGTTCCAAATTTTCCAACACTTAACCAACTGAACTACCCATGTGAGTCCCGCATATACAAACTAATCTAGTAGACATGCTCTATTTCATGTTGAAGATCCCCGGGAAGCCTAGTTGATTGTGGGCAGGCGCGATTACAAACTACATAGAAACTATGCCAAATGCAATTGTGAATTTGGCTCGAATGCCAATTTATATGCGTACCACATTACACTATTACATTTCGTATGCTCACAAACTTAAACGTGAACTCTATACAGTTTTTCTCTGTATTCTCAATAAAATTTAGTAAGCATATTCTTTAAAAGCTTTATAGGGAATGATGGATAGTGTACCCGGGGGTAGCTTATCCGAGGGGTTATTGCGGAGAATAACTAGAGAGAAGTCAGAGCAAATAAGTAAGAGAGAGTGTATATTCGATATGTATTAAGCGTGGTTTACAATGGGGGAAATGGGTGCTATTTATAGTAGTAATAAATGCTAGATAAGGACACGTGTCAGTTTTCTGGTGGTCGAGGGATCACCTCGACCGGGGTGGCACTGGCACTCGCATGTGGCCGCATTAAATGCGGTGGTTGGATGTGACGTTTATACTTGGTACGGTGATCCAGGCGCATGTGAAGAGGATATTCTGTCGAGGTGGATGCCTTCGGCTGAAGGGTGCTGGGCCGAAGGCTCTTCTAACCGAGGGCTCCTACCTGCCGAGGGCTGCAGGTACCGAAGGCTTGGTTTTCAAGCCTTGTTCTCCTGTGATGCCTCTTCTAACTGAGGGCTCCTACCTGCCGAGGGCTGCAGGTGCCGAAGGCTTGGTTTTCAAGCCTTGTTCTCCTGTGATGTTTCTGAGCTCGATTCCGTCACTGGTAGCCTTCGGCCATGGGGCCGAAGGCACCCCTTTGCGTATTGTGGACTGCTTAGAGCTCCATTTTTCTGGGCTTGGCCCGTTTGGGCCTGTTGGGCCTGATTGTAGTACAGGAAGTATGTGGGCCGGGGGTCCCTGGGCCATATACTCCATCAGGAGTCCCCCACTCCTTTTGCCGAAAGGTACTTGAGGGAAAAGGAGTAGCTGTGGTGATTTCCCCGAAGGCTTCCCTGTTCTATTGGTTGCCTCATTTTCTCAATTCCCCCATATGTCGAGGGCTGAGAGCTTCCTGAAGAGAGTGTAAGTGTGTTGCTCGTATGTGTTTCTTTGTTGTAGTTTGTAAAGTAATGAGAGATCTGCATTTGTGTGCTTTGCCGAGGGCATTTGTTGACTGAAGGCTTTGTGTGGCCGAAGGCATCATGTGGCCGGAGGCATCATGTGGCCGAAGACATCATGTGGCCGAAGGCATCATGTGGCCGAAGGCATCATGTGGCCGAAGGCATTGTGTGGCCGGAGGCATCATGTGGCCGAAGGCATTGTGTGGCCGGAGGCATTCTGTAAGCCGAAAGCATCATGTCGAGGGGAGTAGATTGCCGTTGTGATCTTGCCTCAGCTTGCTGTAGCTGAGAAAAAGAAATTTTTTAACATTTGCGTGTTTTGCCGAGGCGAGTCCCCCAGTCCCCCACTCCTTTTGCCGAGAGTTTCTCGAGGGAAACAGGAGTAGAGTGATGCATGCCTTCAGCAGGAGCCGCCGAGGGGTGACACCTTTTGTTCCACAATGGGGAGATGCCTCGTTAAAAACCTCATTAGGAAAAAACCCTGTGGAAAAAAATCCTAATGAGGGAAAAAGAGTACACCGGATGCCCTTAGAATGAAGAAAAAGGAGTGCACCCTTCGGCTTTGATTGTTGAGCGGCGGTTGTATCCGTCTGCTGAGGGGATATCCAAGATCAGCCTTAGATCCTGCATGAAAAAGCTAAGGAGCTTGTAAGCCCCCCCCCCCCCCCCCCCCCCCGTTATCAAACAAAGGTGACGGAGGGGTGCAAGGTCAGGTGGGCTTGTGTTAGAGCCCCTGGCATCAAATACAGATGCCGAAGGGATGGAGACCGAGGGGTCTTCGTGATGGCCCCCGACATCAAATAAAGATGTCGAAGGGATGAAGGCTGAGGGGCCTGTATGATAGCTCCTGACATCAAATAAAGATGTCGGAGGGCTGAAGGTCGATGGCCTGTGTGATGGCCCTCGACATCAAATAAAGATGTCGGAGGGATGAAGGCCGATGGGCCTGTATGATAGCCTCTGGCATCAAATAAAGATGCCAGAGGGATGAAGGCCGAGGGATCTGTGTGATTGCCCCCGACATCAAATAAAGATGCCGGAGGGATGAAGGCCGATGGGCCTATATGATAGCCCCCAGCATCAAATAAAGATGTCGGAGGGATGAAGGCCGAGGGGCCTGTGTGATGGCCCTCGACATCAAATAAAGATGCCGGAGGGATGAAGGCCGATGGGCCTGTATGATAGCCCCTGGCATCAAATAAAGATGCCGGAGGGATGAAGGCCGAGGGACCTATGTGATTGCCCCCGACATCAAATAAAGATGTCGGAGGGATGAAGGCCGAGGGTTGTTGTGATGTGGAATCACGTTGAGGCCGAGGGCCGTTGTGTTGTTGAGGCCGAGGGCCGTTCTGATGTTGAGGCTGAGGGCCGTTGTGATGTGGAATCACGCTGAAGCCGAGAGCCGTTGTTGATGTAGAATCACGTTGAGGCCGAGGGCCTTTGGTGATGTGAAATCATGTAAGGCAAAAACTGTTATGACATAGAGTCATGTTGAGGCCGAGGGCCGTCTGATGTTGAGGCCGAGGGCCATTGTGATGTCATCACGTTGAGGCCGAGGGCCGTTGTTGATGTTGAGGCCGAGGGCCGTTCTGATGCTGAGGTAGAGGGCCGTTGTTGATGTTGAGGCCGAGGGCCGTTCTGATGTTGAGGCCGAGGGCCGTTGTGATGTGGAATCACGCTGAGGCCGAGGGCCGTTGTTGATGTTGAATCACGTTGAGGCCGAGGGCCTTTGGTGATGTGAAATCATGTAAGGCAAAAACCGTTATGACATAGAGTCATGTTGAGGTCGAGGGCCGTTGTGATGTGGAATCACGCTGAGGCCGAGGGCCGTTGGTGATGTGAGATCACGCTAAGGCCAAAACCGTTGTGGCGTAGAGTCACACTAAGGCCGAGGGCCATTCTGATGTTGAGACCGAGGGCTGTTGGTGACGTGGAATCATGCCAAGGCCGAGGGCCATTGGTGATGTAGAATCGAATTGAGGCCGAGGGCCTTTCCTTGATAGTTCCAGGATTCCTCTGGGTGTATGTTTCTTCTTTCAGGCATCGACCGAGGGGTTGATTCCCCGCCTCGGCCGAAAGGGGGTTTAAGTGATCCGTCCGGGGGTTCGTCTGTTAGTCCCCCGGCGCTGGGCCGTCCCTTGATTGTGCCAGGAGGTCGTATGTTAGTCCTCCTGATGTGTGTTCCTTCTTCCAGGCTT